GACGTTTGATTATGTTTTACAATTTTGTCTGACAGTCCCCCAGAAGCGGCGATCGATGTTGTGTGGGGGGAGATACTCAAACATTATAAGTTGCAGAATACTCCAGTCCAATACACAGCAATGTCACTCTCGTTCTTCATACCACAAAATAAACGCAGCGAAACATACCCTCGCCTCAAGGGCAGGGGGGCAGAAGTAAAAGGCATCGTTGGTCCACTGATACAGGTGTGGGCTACATTTTCCAGGGGTACGCCCCATGACAATAGAGTTGCGCGTGCATTAGAGTCTTTGTCAGAAATGCAGGCGGCGCTGGATGACTACAGGTCCGATTTGTTGTGGCCTGCCAGAGTTTCAAGTGAGTTCATGGATCTCACTGAGCGTTTCTTGGCAGACTATTCTTACTTAGGTGCGCAGGCTGACATCCGCTCAGAGACATTGTTTTCAGCAGTCCCAAATCTACACTTTTTATGGCGCCTGGCGTGCAGGTCCAAGTTCATGAACCCTCGGCGAGTTGCGACCTTCATGGGGGAGGATTTTGTGAAGGTGTGTAAAGGTATCGCAGCCCGTTGCACTGCTGGCACACAATTGCATGACGTGCCCGCCAAGATGATGGACTAACACAGATGGGGAGTTTTTCTGGAGTCGATCACAGACCGACCGTCATAGTAAAAACAAGCATGAAAACAACAAAAAACAACAAAGAAACAAACAAACACGTGTCAAACACAATAAACAAAAACAAAACACACAACAAAGAACCCCAGAGGCCTCCAGAGTCCCCCAAGGTCCTCCAGAGCAATCCAATCCTCCAGCGGCCTCCAGAGTCCCCCAGAGGCGGCCATGTTTTTAATGTGTCCCCGTCCAAGGCAAATAAAAATCCTCATATAACTATAGCACGCAGAAAGCACACAAACACCCCAAACTCGCGACGCGATCGACCACAACTTCGAGGCACCCGCCGCCCGCGCCAGGGGGAGGAGGAGGAAGAGGAGGAGGAGGAGGAGGAAGAGGAGGAAGGATGATGATGATGAGGAGGAGGAGGAGGAGGAGGAGGGGGAAGAGGTCGCTGAGAATGCGCAACATGGTTCTAATCACGTTGAAACATGTTGGGAGAGGAAGAGGAGGAGGAGAAGGAGGAGCAGGTGGGGAAGGAGGAGGGAGGAGGAGGAGCAGGGGGAGGAGGCGGAGGAAGGGGGGCGGAGAAGGAGGTCGCTGAGAATGCGCACCATGATTCCAATCACTTTGAAACATGTTGGGTGTGGAGGTGGAGAAGGAGGGGGACGAGGGGGGAGGAGGAGGAGGAGGAGAGGAGGAGGAGGAGGAGGAGGAGGAGGAGGAGGAGGAGGTGGAGGAGGAGGAGCAGGAGGAGGAGGAGGAGGAGGAGGAGGAGGGGGGAGGAGGAGGAGGGGTGAGAGGGGGGCCGACGACGCCCATTGTGTTTCTTATGGCAGGGGTACACATTCCAACTACCAGGCGGCGCTTGCTCATCCTGCACAGAGATCGCGGCCCTCGAGGTTTTCGGTCCTGTTTGTTGTCGGTCGGGTCCCTCGGTCGGCTCTGTCTGGGGTGCTGGGTTTTCCCGTCCCTCGCTCCCTTTTCGGCCCTTCGGGCCCTTCGGTCGATCGTCGTTCTTGTCGTCAGCCCACGAGCGAATCAACTCTTCCCCTTCCTCCCTCTTCCCTCCCCCTCATCCCCCCTCCGTCCCTCCTCCTCCTCCTCCTCCTCCTCCTCCTCCTCCTCCTCCCTTTCCTCCTCCCTCCCCTCCTCCCTCCTCCCCCCTCCCTCCTCCCTCCCTCCTCCTCCTCCTCCTCTTTTGCCATTAGGCTCACACCTTGAGCTGGGTTGCACAGGCGCCTTATGGAGGTTCCCATGGAGGTTCCAGTGCAGATCCCGATGGCACTTCCTAGGGGGATCCCTATGGTGATTCCCATGGAGATTCCTCTGGGGATTCCTATGGCGTTTCCGATGGAGTGTCCCATGGATATTCCTGTGTATATCCCGATGGAGATTCCGATGGATATTATTGCTGCGATTCCTATGGAGATTCCCATGGAAATTCCTAGGGATATCCCTACATATGGAGATTATTGTGGGGATTCCAATGGAGATTCCTTTGGAATCCCCAATGGAAAATCTCATAATGCGGGCCGACGACGCAGGATCTGACCATTCGGTGCCCTCATAATTCTAAAGAAAAGTTAAGGTTATGGGCGCGCACATAGCACATCACTTTCAGCCCTGAACTTTTTATGGGCGCTGCCCATAGCGCTGCAGAGCTGATTTCATACAAGTGCTACGCGGGCTGAGCACAGTCGAGTGGGCTGGGGCGAACTAAGGGCAGACTAAGTGCAGGCAAACTAAAGGCAAACTAAGAGCAGACTATGTGCAGGCACTATTGGCGCTATGGGCAGCGCACATAAAAAGTTAAGGGCGGAAACTGATGTGCTATGTGCGCGCCCATAACCTTAACTTTTCTTTAGATTTCTGAGGGCACCGGATGGTCAGGGTCGGGCGTGCAGCCCAGGCGCCGGCGGACATGAGGCCAGCGCTGCAGCGGGAGCACGATTCGGAACGAGCGGGGCCTGAAAATGAGGCCGGCGCCTCAGCGAGAGCAGCATTTTGGAAAAATGCAGGCGAAAACCCAACTCCGGGGAAACCTGTGTGTAAAAATGCAGTACGCGGGGGGGGGGGGGCGGCTACTTCCATTCCGTCATCAGGGAAGGGGGTAGTAGTATATTATTGAGTAATTGTGGAGGGGGGGGGGGGGGAGAGGGAAGGAGGGCGGGAGGGGGGGAAAAGGAGTTGGGAAAGGGGTCCTCCTCCTCCTCCTCCTCCTCCTCCTCCTCCTCCTCCTCCTCCTCCTCCTCCTCTTCCTCCTCCTCCCCCCTCCTCCTCCTCCTCCTCCTCCTCCCCCCTCCTCCTCCTCCTCCTCGCCTCGTGCGCGCCGCCAAGACAAAGCGCAATTCGCCGACCAATTCGTCGAGGGGCGGCCTCCCCCGCGGCCCCCGGCGGCGCGGCGCACAAGCAGCGCCGGCGCCTCCGCGGCCCGGGGCCGGCGACGGCCCCCCCGCGGGCTCGCGCGCGCCCGCGGGCTCCGCCCGTGCCCTGCGCGAGGGGCAGGGCCAAACGCGGTTCGGCCCCGGAGTTCGGGGCACGGTGGGCGACGAGAAGCAGGAGGAGGAGGAGGAGGAGGGAGCAGGAGGAGGAGGAGGAGGAGGAGGAGGAGGAGGAGGAGGAGGAGGAGGAGGAGGAGGAGGAGGAGGAGGGAGGAGGAGGAGGAGGAGGAGGAGGAGGAGGAGGAGGAGGAGGAGGAGGAGGAGAACACACCACACAAGCAGAAACCTCTGGCGCTCCGCGCGGCACAGCCCCGGAGTTTGCGGCACAGTGGTGGCTCGTGCCATCGTGGAAGAGAGCACACCACACAGGCAGAATCCTTTGGCGCTCCGCGCGGCACGGCCCCGGAGTTTGCGACACAGTGCGGGCCCGTGCCATCGAGGAAGAGAACGATCCACACAGGCAGAAACCTTTGGCGCCCCGCGCGGATTTCTTGGATCCGCGCCTGGGCCCTCCCTGGCGACGCCTCCGGCGCCGCCCCTGGCGCGCGCCAGGGGCGGCGGGGGCCCGGCGCGGATCCAAGAAATCCGCGCGGAGCGCCAAACGTTTCTGCATGTGTGGCTCTTCTTCTTTCTATACCAAGAAACGCTCTGCTCGCCTCCAGGGCTACAGGGTGTCCTGGGTTTCTTGGGCTTCCATTGTTTTGCGACGGAAAGCGCTGCATTCCAACACCAAGAGCCAATGGACGCCCTGGGGTCTCAGGGTTGGGTGTCTTGTGGAAGGCTTCTTGTGGGCTGATGTCCACTGTACCCCACCCAGAGTTCAAGTCGGCACGAACGAAGTGGGTACAGAAAGAATGGGTACGATGCCCAACAGACGTTCCTGTTCATTTTGAACTGGACTCGTCGTCCTCGCCGCCGCGGAAGTTGTCCATTTGAGACAAAAGGCCGCCTGCCCAACAGCGGCCGCTGTCGGTTTGGGACAAGATGTGCTGATCACCTTATTGATCATGAGGAGGAGGAGGAGGAGGAGGAGGAGGAGGAGGAGGAGGAGATCTTGGCGCTGCATTTTTTCACACCAGGCGCCTTCGCTATGTTTCGGGGGGGCCGGGCCATCACAGATCGGTCCGGCTCGAAGAGTGCAGCAGGGAGATAGGCCCCCCAGGGCTCCAGTCGTGCTTTTTTGGCGTTGCTGACTATTTTTTCTCAACGTCGGAGCCCTGTGGTTAAACATGACTTTCGCAGCTCCGCGCGGCTTTCTTTGCGCCTCCCCCCTGCCGGCGCCTCCGGAGCGTTCCCCGGGCGCGTTCTGCACGACAGGGAGGGGGTTCCAGCGCTGGTCCAAGAGAGTCCGGGCGGACCTGCGAGGAGTTATGCTTATGCAGTTTTCTGGTCTTCTGCATATGGCGGCGCTCGCACAGGGGTGGCGCGAGGGGGTCGTATTCAAATGCAGCCTGTGCCCCTCCTGTCTCCAGGGGACCTCGTCGGAGCCGCGAGCATTGTGGCTCCTGATTGCAGTCAGCCCACACAGTAAGGATGAGCGAGTTTTCCAGGGTCGCCCTTGCATCCTTGCTCATTAGGCCCATCCCTGGCAACTTTCGCTGGCGAGCCCCACTCGAGAAACGTCAACATGGCTTTTCAAGGCTCGGTCTGTCGGAGACAAGCAGCTCTACCTCGCTTTTAAAGCGAGGTACAGTCGGGGCGCTGAAGAAGGAGCCCTTTTCGTTGGGGAGGGGCTCCATGTTCCTTAAGTGTTTCGCAGCTTGCCTTAGATTTTCCTTAGGGTTTCGATACGAAATCGAAGTTTAACTTATGGAAAATAGGGGCCTTGTTCCTTATTTAGGGTTCCTTAGGTCAACGCCTCGACTGTCGTTTCGCTTGCCTCTTGAAAGAAGCAGCGGCGGCGGCGACGGCGGCGCCGCCGCTCGGCTCCAGGCGCGTGCACACCCGCGCGGCGCGCCGGGCCGGCCCCACACTTCCCCCCTTGCTCGGGGGCTGCCGGGAGGGTGGGCCTGGAGCTGTGCGCCGCCTTCTCAATCTCGGGGGCCCCCGAGCGGCGCGAGGATCCCCAGGCGGCGGGTTTTATTTCCGATGCCTCTTTCTCCCTCTCCTCCTCCTCCAACTTCCCTCTTTTTCCTCCTCCTCCTCCTCCTCCTCCTCCTCCTCCTCCCTTCTCCCTCCTCCTCCAACTCCCCCCTGTTCCCTCCTCCTCCTCCTCCTCCTCCTCCTCCTCCACAATTACTCAATATGAATACTACTCTCCCTCTTCCCCTGATGACCGCTTGCAAGTGTCCGACCCCCCCCCCGCGTATTGTTTTTTTACACAGGTTTCCCCAGAGTTGGGTTTTCGCTTGCATTTGTTTTCAAAATGCTGCTCTCGCTGAGGCGCCGGCCTCATTTTCGGGCCCCGCTCGTTCCGAATCGTGCTCCCGCTGCAGCGCTGGCCTCATTTCCGTGCTTCCGCTCGTTCCGAATCGTGCTCCCGCTGCAGCGCTGGCCTCATTTCCGCGCTTCCGCTCGTTTCGACTCGTGCTCCCGCTGCAGCGCTGGCGTCATTTCCCGTGCCATGCCACGGCATGCAATTCTAGACGCTTCGCGTATCCCCACCAGCCCGTCCAGAAACGACGCCCAGGCGAGTAGAGGGTCGTCCTGAGGGGCTTTTCGGCGTCTTGGGTGCCTCGGGGGGGCCTCTGTGGGCCGTTCGGGATCCTCTTTGGGGCCTCCTGGGGGCCTCTTGGGGCCTCTTGGGGCCATCTTGGGGCCTTTGGGGGCCTCCTGGGCGCTTCTTGGGGCCTCCTGGGCGCTTCTTGGGTGCCTCTGGGGGGTCTCTTGGGGCCTCTTGGGGGGTTCCCTAATTACAGTCCCCCCCTCAGGAGCCACGATCCTCGTGAGGGGTGTCGAATTTTAGCCCTCCCAGGGGTCGATCTTGGGCGCTCCAACGCGCCGCGGAACCCCCTGTCCAGGTCAGTGGGGAGGGGGTAGGGGGAGGGGTAAACCCCTCCCCGAAGGGGAAGAAGGAGGGGTGGAAGAGGAAACGCTCTAAACCACCGACGCCCAGAGGGCTGGTGGGATTCAATGTTCGGTTGATACTACGCTTTGCGGTGCTCTTCTACGCCATGCCATGCCGTGCTCTACAATGCATCGTGTACCCTTTCGGGATTATTGCCCTGTTCGACATCCGACTATGCGAGTAGAGAGGGGGTCTGCGCCATGGTAAGGCATGGGAGGGAGGGGTAGGATGTCAGATATGACGCGAGCGCACCTAGCTTGTCCCCCTCCCCCTCCCCCTCCCCCTCCTCCTCCCCCTCCTCCTCCTCCTCCTCCTCCTCCTCCTCCTCCTCCTCCTCTCCTCCCCCTCCTCCTCCTCCTCCTCCTCCTCCTCCTCCTCCTCCTCCTCCTCCTCCTCCTCCTCCTCCCGGCGAGGGCCAGGCGCCCCGCGGCGCCTGGGCCGCGCCGCGCTCCGCCGGGCGGCGGAGCGCCGGGCCGTCCCTCTTTCCGGCAGCGGGCCGGGGGCCGCGGGCCACGGGAGGTGCCGATACGCGTGCCGGTCTCGAGGGACCTTTTCTCGGGGATCGGGCCAGATAAATCCAGGCAGATGCAGATAAAATCGAGGTCAATCCAGGTAAAGCGAGATACTTCTGGGTAAGTCCAAGTAAGTTCAAGCAGTGGCGAAGCGTCCTGGCTCGCTTATAGTCCCACCAAGCAGTGTTCTAAGAATTTCTTGTGGTTCCCACGAAATGTTCTTAGAACATCTCCTGGCGGCGTCTGTCTTGGTTTAACACATCGGGTTAATGTTCTAAGAACTCTGTTTTTGTTTTTATTTGTTTTGGGGGGGGGGTCTAAGAACATTTCGTGGTGGGACGATAGGAATGCCGGGACGGTCGGTCCCTGCTCAAGCAGTCTCGAAGGACGTTATGAAAAAAATCACGACGGAGTTGTTTCGCAGTTTTCGGCCTCGAGGGGCCCTCGCCGGGCCCTCGGGACCGTCAAAAAACGACTCAGGATGAAAAACCGGTCCCGGGGAATGGGTCGAGACTTCTGGGGGTCGACGTCATGAAAAATTCTTGACGCTTCGCGTATCCCCACCAGCACCGCCTGCCGCTGGCGCTTCCGCCTGCGGCCGTACAAACAAAAAAAACACCAGCCCATCCTACACCAGGCACTCGAACGAAGAGCGCCGATGATCGGCAGCTGTTCTTCTACCCCTCTTCCTCCTTATCCTCCGCCTTCTTCCTCCTCCTCCTTTCCTCCTCCCTCTCCTCCTCCTCTTCCTCCTCCTCCTCCTCCTCCTGTTCCTCCGCCTCTTCCTCCTCCCTGGTGGCGTCTTGGAGGTATCTTCGAACGGTTTGGTGGGCTCTTGGGCCTTGCGGGCGGGCGGGCGGCGCTCCGCCCGCCCGCGCGCAGGGCCCAAGAGGAGAGTCCCAGACGTCTCTTGGAGCCATTTTGGGCGTCTGGGGTCCTTTTAGACGCCATCGGGGCGCTCTGGGGGGGCATCTTGGAGCAAATCTATCAAATAAGAGCAAAGCTTTAATTAGCGTTGCCCCTCCAGACTGTCTAAAATCGCTTCCTGGACCCCTCTTGGATCGCTCTTGGAGCGCTCTTGGACGCTGTTGAGGCAGTCTTGAGGCTCTCTTGGGCCCCTGTTGGGGCTCAGTTGGGACATCTTGGCGCCATCTTGATGCCTCGGATGGCCCTTGAAGGCCCTGCTGGGGCGCTCTTGGGGCAATTTTGGAGGACATCGGCCAAGGAAGTGGGGTTCCCTAATTACAGCCCCCCCCCCAGGAGCTCCAAAAATCGCTTCCTGGACCCCTCTTGGATCGCTCTTGGAGCGCTCGTGGCCGCTCTTGGAGCCATCCTGAGGCTCTCTTGGGCTCCTCTTGGAGCTATCTTGAGCCATCTTGGAGCCATCTTGACGCGTCGGATGTGCATCGCAAGCGAAAAAGTGAGAACACCGAAAACATTGATTTTCCCTAAGGTTTTGAAGCATTTTGGCCCCTTGGATACATCCTAATGATGCTCTTGTGGGCACTTGGAACCGTCTCGGGGAGTTCTTGGAGCGTCTTGGAACATCATGGGGACCATCTTGAGGCATCTTGCGCTATCTTGAGCCATCTTGGAGGTCATCTTGAGCTCCCTGATGCCCTCTTGGAGCCGTGTTGGGCCGTCTTGGACGCTCTAACTACCCGCGGCCCCCCTTGTCCAGGTCAGTGGGAGGGGGTAGGGGGAGGGGTAAACCCCTCCCCGAAGGGGAAGAAGGAGGGGTGGAAGAGGAAACGCTCTAAACCACCGACGCCCAGAGGGCTGGTGGGATTCACGACGTCGGATCTCTGGGGAGGAGGCTCGGCGGCGGGGGTCCTCCCCACCCTTCGCCCGGGGGGGGTGCAGAGGAGGCGAGGCCGCACCTCCCTCCTCCCCCACTCCTCGTACCCCTGCTCCTGCCAGATCCCTCCTCCTCCTCCCTGCTCCCTCCCTCCCCCCTTCTCCTCCTCCTCCTCCTCCTCCTCCTCGTCCTCCTCCTCCTCCTCCTCCTCCTCCTCCTCCTCCTCCTCCTCCTCCTCCTCCTCCTCCTCCTCCCCCTCCTCCTCCTCCTCCTCCTCCTCCTCCTCCTCCTCCTCCTCCTCCTCCTCCCTCTCCTCCTCCTCCTCCCCGTCCGCCCGGGCAGCGGATCGGGGGCAGCGGGTCAATCCCGAAGGGGTTGTCGACTTTTCGCCAATCGACTTGTGGGGATCGAGCCAGATAAATCCAGGCAAATGCAGATATATCGAGGTCAGTCCAGGTACATCGAGATACTTCTGGGTAGGTCCAAGTAAGTTTAAGCAGTGGCGAAGCGTCCTGGCTCGCGGATAGTCCCACCAAACGGTGTTCTAAGAATTTCTGGTGGTTCCCACGGAATGTTCTGAGAACATTTCTGGCGGAGACTGTCTTGGTTTAACACATCGGTTTAATGTTATAAGAACTCTGTTTTTGTTATTAGAACTAGTTTGGGTTCTAAGAACATTTCGTGGTAGGACTGTAGGAATGCCGGGACGGTCGGTCCCTGCTCAAGCAGTGGCGAAGCGTCTGGGCTGGCTTATATCGGGGGCGGCAAGAGGGGGGTGATGACTAGGGGGGTGTGGATCTCATGGCGTGGGCCACGATATCTCCCCAGATTTCGTGGCGCCTCTCCTTATTTTATCACGTCCCTGGTCCCCCCCCCCGGGCCGCGCACGTGACGCCGTCCATGATTTGCACTCCCCCTCATTGACGCCTCCCTCTTGGCCGCTCCCGACTATAGGCCCACCAGGGAATGTTCTACAGTGGGGGCGCGCATCAGGGAACCATGTGCTTTTCGTCAGGGTATCCTGGATCTCTTCGCTCCTCGCGCTGCGCGGTGACTTGCCGTAGCCGTTGAAGGAGTTGCTGCGTTCAGGGTGCTCTGGGTTTCCCCACAGGTCCACCTCGCGCACGGGTTCTCAGGGTTGGGTTTCTTGCGAGGGTTTATTGCGGCTGCGCCCGCACTGTAAGAACCTATTGTGGTCCGCACGGAATGTCCTTCGAACATTTCTGGCTGGGGCTGCCCTGTTTTAACACATCGGCTTAATGTTCTAAGGATTTGTGCGTTGTTCTTAGAACATGTTTGGGTTCTAAGAACATGTCGCGGTAGGCCTGTAGGAAGGCCGGGACGGTCGATCCCTGCCCAATAAGCAGAGAATCGGCGGTTTGGGGGCTCGCGTACAGTGGGGGCGCGTTCGGCAGCAAACCATGGGGACCGTTCGGACCGTTTTGGGGCCCTACCAGGGCCCTACTGGGGCCCTGCTGGGGCCCTCTGCAGGAGGAATCTTCAAGAATAGTCCAGAAACAGTCTGGAGACGATCTTGCAAGTACATCATATCTGATACGTTTGGAGGTTCTTCGGCCATTCTTACTCTGTCTTCCAGAATGCGCCGGTAGGAGAACACGCACGACCTAAACCAATGCCTTGGGTGTCCTCAGACATCCGGCGACTTGTGCCTGTTGCAGTGCTCCGCCCGGTGGCGACCCCGCCCCTGCCCCAGGAATAGATCTTCGTCATCGGCCCCGGGGGCCCGTGACGGGCTTCTACATCAGGAGGGAAAAACACGCACAGACACAGTGAATCGTCGATTCCCCAGAAAAACATGGGAAAATATGGGAAGTGGGGGGGAAGACAGAAACCCAGAAGATATAGGAAAGTAGGGGGAATCCTGTTACTTGTGTGTCCTGGGGCCCCTTCATTCGATCGAAGAACAAAACGCGACATAAACATAACCTTCAGGTGCTCCGCGCGGATTTCTTGGATCCGCGCCGGGCTCCCTCTGGCGGCGCCTCTTGCGCTGCCCCTGGCGCGCCTCCTGGCGCGCCGGGGAGGGGCGTCCAGCGCAGGTCCAAGAAGTCCGCGCGGAGCGCCACAGGTTGAGGATTGTGCCGGTCTTTCTTCTTCTATTCGAGAGGCCGAAATCTAGGAGGAGGAAGAGTACCCATGCCGCCACCATTTGCCCGTCTTCCCTGTTTGTCCCCCCTTCTGGGATGCCCTCGGCGCCACCACTTGATTCGCCCCGAAATTCTGGTGAGGACGCAACCCATAAGAGGTCCAGGGAGTAGCCGTATTGGCACCTTTTGGTTTCCCTAACATCGAGGAAAAGTGCAGTGGAGACCCATGTCAAGAAACACCCTGCTCGCCTCCAGGGTACCGTGAGATTCTTGGGTTTCGATGGTTTTGCCATGGAGAGCGTCACGTTCTCACACGAAGAATCAATGGACGTCCTGGGGCTTCAGGGTTGGGTTTCTTGTGGACGGTTTCTTGTGGTCGGGCCCCTATTGTACCGGCCAGGATTGAAATGACCATGCCGTCGGAGATCGGGGTCTTTGGGGAGGTCCCCCAGGCCTTCCGACCAGGGTCCGAGCAGATGGGGTCGGAGGCTCGCGCCGCATCGCCGATGCATCGGCCATGCGGCTCGACGTGGGGCCCGATGTGCCCCGCAGACGTCGCCGATGCATCGCCACCGTGTCGCCGCTGCGTCGCCGCTGCATCGGCGATGTCTCGGCGATTCGTCGTGATCACGCTGTGCCGTTTCCAGACGGCCTGGGGGCCCTGGCGCGGGCGTGGCCGAGCATGGGCGAACAACATTGGCAGTCTCGACCCTGATGTGTCCGCGGCGCGAGCGGATCTCCGAGGAGGAGCAGGTACCCACACCGCTGCCCTTGCCTCGTCCTCCCCTCCTTGGGGCCTCCTGGGAGGCCCTCCTCGCCAGCGCCAGACTCGCCTCGGAAGTCTTGTCGGAACGCATCCTGGGAGAGGTCCGGGGAGCAGCGGAGATCGGTACATCGTCCACGCCTCCCGACCAGCAGGTGGCTGATTTAGCGATCTTCTCGAGGGACAGAACATGACATGCACAGTCGGGGCCCTGAAGAAGGAACCCTTTTCGTTGGGGAGGGGCTCGGTGTTCCTTGATTGTTCTGCAGTTTGCCCTCTGCTTTCCTAAGGTTGTCCATGGGAAGGCGAAGTTCAACTCATGGGAGAAAGGGGCCCCGTTCCTTAGTTAGGGTTCCTTAGGTCAATGCCCCGACTGTAAACACGAGCTCTCGTCGCTCCGCGCGCCTTTCTTGGATCGGCGATGGACCCCCTGGGCGGCGCCTCCGGCGCCGCCCCTGGCGCCCTCCGCGCGCCAGGGAGCGGGGCCCAGCGCAGATCCGAGAGGTCCGCGCGGAGCTCCGAGAGTCATGTCAGATGTCATTTTTGGTCCCTCGGGGAGATCCCTCGGGGAGATCGAACAGTTTGTTGGTCCTAGCTCTGGCAGCAGACCGAGTTCGATAGATTAGGTGTGCCCGTCAGCTCTAAAGCTGTCCTGGTGCCGGCTTTCCACCGCGAGTCGTTTTTGACGGTCCCCAGGGCCCGGAAAGGGTCCCCAGAGGCCGAACATTGAGAACCCCTTCGTCCTGATTTTCTCATGACGTTGCATCAGCGTCGCCCCAGCACGCTCATCCTGTGTGTGCGTTGAACCCTTCCTGGCCCGCTCACCTCGGAACGCTTCCACGTCTGAGCGCCCTCCCTCTCCTCCCTTCGCGCGGCCGCCCTCGTCTTCGCCTCTCTCTCTCTCTCTTGCACGCCGGGCAATTTGCCATCGGTTGCCCCGATTAGCCCCGCGCTGGTGCAGGCTGCCTCTGCCTCGCCGCCGACGAAGCAAAGTGCGCTGCCCTTCCAGGGGCGACGCGCGCACCGAGAAGTCTTGACAATATGTCGGGCGCTTGCCGGCCGCACCGCTCGGGGAACGCTGCACTACAAGATGGGTCTACTGGGTGTTCGGGTCGGGCGCGCGCCTTCAGGGAGGACGTTCGGCTTTCGTGTGCCTCTGTGCGTCCCATGACTTTCTCGCGATGCTGCAGTTCTGGGTGCCGGCTTCTCTGTCCGGGGCGGGAGTTTCTACGTGACCACCGCCCGGAGGAGCAGCTCTAGCGGGGACCTCAGCAGGCGCGACGGATGTGGATCTATACGGGCCCCCCGGGAGCCAAGATAGATCCACATCCAACGCCCGCTGGGGCACCAGGACTTCGGTTCCCAGGCGGTGGACGTGGATAAATGTAAGTCGGGCCTGTCCCCCTACAGGGGGATTTTCGAAAGAAATTTCAAATATCCAAAAATAGTCAAAAAGTAATTTAAAAATAGCCAGGGGACTATTTTTGGAGTTTTTTTTGGCCTTTTTGGGGCATTTGTCGAGTATCCTTTAATTTTTCATAGAAAATCCCCCTGAAGAGGGACACGCCCGACATGAGGATACATCCCCGCCCCCGCACCCCATGGGGCCCGCCCGAGGCCCGGGCCCATATGGGCGGGGCCGCTCCCCCCCCGCCAGCGCCCGGCCCCTGCTGGCTGCGACCCGGCGCGCGGCGCGCGCGATGGACGCCGAGGCCCCGGGCAGGCCCCGGGCCGGCGCCGCGGCGGACGCCCCACGGAGGCCCCCGCTCTGGGCCTCTCAGAGTTCAGTCCGGCCTGCCCCTCTACAGTTTTTTATTTTTTTTCAAAAATAATGTAAAAATGCAAATCATGGAGAGGATATCTGTTTTTTTTGTTTTTGTTTTTTCCATTTATGTTTCTTTTTGTGACTGTTTTTGATGTTTAATTCAAGATTCCCCTGTCGGGGGACATGCCCGACCCAATCCTGGATGGGAGAGGGGTAGACAGGGTCGGAGGATCACTCCGTATCGGCGATGCATCGGCGATGCGGCTCGATGTGGAGCCCGATTTGCTTCACGTCGACGTCGCCGATGCATCGCCAGTGCATCGCCGCATCCAGGAGTCCTCTAGGGCCGCCAGTCTCGAAGAAGAGAAAACACATCATCGTTCGGCGCTCCGCGCGGATTTCTTGGATCCGCCCTGCACCAGCCCCCCCCGGCGGCACCACGCGCCCGGGAGGGGGGTCCAGCGCATGTCCAAGCAGTCCGAGTGCAGCGCCAGCAGTTCAGGTTTGTGGCGCTTCTTCTTCTGCAATCGGTGGTTCAAAGGTCGCTGTGATCTTTATGCATCGTCTCGCCGATCGGCGCGGGCCCCCCCCCCCTCCCCCCTCGCAGTGGAGGGTTTCTCCAAAGGGCTTAGGCGACCCGTCCTCCTCCTTTTCCTCCTCCTCCTCCTTTTCCTCCTCCTCCTCCTCCCCCTCCTCCTCCTCCTCCTCCTCCTCCTCCTCCTCCTCTTTCTCTTTCTCCTCCTCCTCCTCCTGCTCCTCCTGCTCCTCCTCCTCCTCCTCCTCCTCCTCCTCCCCTTCCCTCCTCCTCCTGCTCCTGCTCCTCCTCTCCCTCCTCCTGCTCCTCCCCTTCCCCCTCCTCCTCCTCCTCGGGTCGCCTACGGCCCCGGTGGAAATCGTGCACCTCGCAGACCATGTCCTGCTCTCGGCGGCCCCCTTGCCCCCAGCCTGCCCTTGCGCGGCCTGGCAGAGGCAGAGGAGTACCAGCACCGGCCTACACAGTGGAGGCCCATGCCAAGAAACATCCTGCTCGCCTCCAGGGTGCACTGGATTGCTTGGGTTTCTATGGTTCTGCCATGGAAAGCGTGACGTTCCCACACCGAAGATCAGTTGACGTCTCCACTGTACCCAGAGCTTCCCCCTCCCACTCCCCCACCCTTCGGCCGAACGTCGACACCCACAGTAACAAAAAACGCACACCCGATGGGGCCCCGAGGATAGTTAGGGTTATGTCGGGCGTGTCCCCCTACAGGGGGATTTTCGACGAAAATTAACAAATACCCGAAACATACACCCAAAAAGGTAAACAAATACTAACAACATAGTTCCCAGACTATTCTCTGATTATTTTTGTTTTTCTTTGGGGGGGTATTTTTTCATTTTTCGTCGGAAATCCCCCTGTAGGGGGACAGGCCCGACTTAAAGTTAGGGAGGGGTCCAAGGGGTCGAGCTACCTGCACTGCCAGAGGCACCTCCTCCTTGGGGCCCCACCCCGCAGGACCCCATCTTGGCACCGCCGAGCCACGGCGTGCCCGCGCCCCCGGGGGCAACGATCGCCGGGGGACAACCAATGACACGAACGTGCACTTTCGGAGGTCGGCGCGGACGCCCCACCTGGCGGCGCTTCCAGCGCTGCCCCCCGGCGCACTCCGCGCGCCGGGGAGGAGTGTCCCGGCGCCGATCCGAGGACTCCCGCGCGGACCTCCGAGCGCTGAGGCTTTGCAGAGTTTCGCTCCTCGAGATAGTCGGAGGTGGACAGACCTCCTACCCTGACACGTCGATTAGTGAATTGGCCGTTTTCGGTTCGCGAGAGGGCGTCGCGGCCGTTGTTTATGCGGGTCTAGGTCCGTCGGTGTCGGTTCTAGGCCGTTTTCCCTAAAGGGAGGTTTGCTACAGGGAGGCTTGTCCACCGCCGAGATAGGGGGGATGGGCTCAGGTGGGAATGCGTTGCTTCATAATCGCCCGCCGATCGCCGATAGGGGTCGGATAGCCACCCCAGCCCCGCCCAGGAACATTGCATTGGGATCTGTCATCGGGGGCCTATCGCCGATCAATCGGCGATGTATCGCCGCTTCCAGGTCGACGTTCCCTCCTTTGGCCGTTCCCCCCCGATCGTTGCTCCTCAAAGCCGCCGCTTCGGAGTCGTGCCCCTGGGGTCTCGAGGAGTGGTGGATGTCCAGGGGCAGCATTGGTTCAAGGGAGGGAAACCACCCAGATCCTGACAATTGGCGCTAACTGAACGCTCTGGGCGTTTACTAAACAGCCCTGCCATCTTTAGGCGCGTTTGCTGCACGGCTTCGCTTGTCCGGGTACTTGTTATGGGGGTGGATTCCTTGCTCTCTATTGAGGGCATTGCACGTTCCCGAAAGCGTTCGTAAGAGTCTCCCATTTCCCAATGTGTTACAGACGTTTTCGAAATTTGGGGTTGGTTCCATAGTCTGCGCCTCGTCCAGGGCGTTTTGGGGGTGCCGTGATCGTCCCGAGCGGCCGCCAGAGGCCCGAGTTGTGGCCCGAAAACCACCGCGGCCATGACCATGCGAGGGGACAGAGAGGGCGCGCCATCCACATCCACCGCTCCCACGCCCTCATGGGGCGCTCCAGAGAAGGCCTCGCCTTCGAGTATCGGAGGAGTTGATATCTCATGCTCGGCGGAAGGCGGCGGAAGGCCGCCAGAGGCCAGCGGAAGTAGGAATCGGCTTCCCAAGATATGGCTCGGTTTTGGGTTTAGGGTTTTCGGAACCCGCCATATCTCGGGACGATCGAAGTAGGTGCGGAAACAATGGGTACAAGTCCAACGCCAGTTCTTGCTAATTGTAAGCAGGGTTCGTTGTAGGCGTCGCCGCAGTCGTTGTCCACTCGAGACAGAAGGCCGCCGCTCTCGGCAGCGGCCACGGTCGGTTTGGGACGACATGTGTTGCCGGGCATCGTGCTCATTTTTGTGGTTGCGTACTCACTTCGGGCCTCCGCGACGTCCGCAGCCACACCCGGGGGCCGGGAACGCAAGGGCCCCCTCGAGGGCGCGAAGTCATTCGCGCTCCGCGCTCCGCGCTTCGGCTCCGATCCCTCCTCGTCCTGCTCTCGTCTTCCCTGGGAGGCGGCGCGAGAGCGCGGAGCTATGCGCACGTCGCGCTTCGCGCCGCGCGACGCGCAACGCGAAGAGCCCCTGGGAGGCGTCCGCTCCCGCCGCGGGGGGGGCGCCGGCGGAGACAGGCCCCCGCCGCCGCTCCCCGACCCCGCCCCTCCCCTGGCGGTGGGGGCCACGGCCCCCCAGCGCAGCGGGCCTACGGGTTCAGAACTCCCTCCTCCTCCCTCCTCCTCCCTCCTCCTCCCTCCTCCTCCCTCCTCCTCCCTCCTCCTCCCTCCTCCTCCCTCCTCCCTCCTCGTCCTCCCTCCTCGTCCTCCCTGACGTTTCTGACGTTTCGCGCTAAACACAGCGTCTCACCGCCTCCCCGCGCGCCAGACGGGCGCGCCCCGCCCCCCCTGGCTTCGACGGCGGCGGCGGCTAAAAGAATCTCGGCCCCCAGGAGGAGAGGAGAGCAGAGGAAAATCAAATATTCGAACGGGACAGAATGGAACGGGGCCGAGGGAGCAAGCGGCACCCCGGGACCCAAGCGGGACAGGACCCCCGCCTGTCGAGGCCCCTGGGACGCACTCAGGGTGTGATGTAGCGGCTCCCCGCGCTGGGTGCGTCGGGGAGCCTCGTCGATCTCGGGCCGCCACCTTCCACCTCGGTGGCGGCCCGCCCGCATGAGCTGCTCATCCGCCTCCAGGGGCACGAGGTGCTTGATCCTGTGGTGCGCCGTCTGGATGCGTGAGGCGCCCTTGGTCATCAGCGCTTTGGCGGCGGTGGGCCCAGTCCGCCCTGCAGCAGTCGTGTCCCGCTTCTGCCTCCTCGAGCTGGTAGGGGTCGAGGGGGGAGTAGAATTGCAGGTACTGGTCTTCGTCCGCGTCGGGCCATGGCGCCTCTCCTGCTGTAATTGCCCCCCACCTGGCATACAGAGCCGCCGCCATGGCGCGGCACATCTGCGGAGGACACTCCTTGAGCGGTGCCGTCCGCCATCCTCCGCGCCCGTCCCTGCCGTATACACCGCGGTGGGATGTGTGCCTGCACCTGGGCCCTCCTGGATGTGCCGCCAGCTCACGTCCCGGTTCTGGCAGGTTCACGGTCAGCAGCTGCGTCGGCTTCTGGGCTAGTTGCCCGAACTGGCATTGGTCCAGATACAGGATCTCAGCTTGTGGTAGCCCAGCCAGCCATCGGACTTCTGGTTGGTGCCAACTGCTCGGCGCCTGTGGGCACCAAACAGCTGGGGCTGGGTGCTCCAGGATCGCGGAGACCTGGAGGGGAAGGCCCAGCAGGATCAGGTAGATGGCCGTGCGGTACAGCTGGTTCCCGAGTGCCACCTGCTGCATCTCGCTCATGGTGGCCTCCTGTATACCCCATGGCAGCGTCATTGTGCGCAGGGGGCGTGGTGCCCGTCCCTCCAGCGCATGCCACCGCGAGGAGCACCACGTCTCGCAGGGCAGCCCGGCAACCACTGCCAGGACTTTTCCAGCTCTGATAGCCTGCGCCCAGTGCTACTCGTCCTCCTTCCTCCTCCTCCTCCTCCTCCTCCTCCTCCTCCTCCTCCTCCTCCTCCTCCTCCTCCTCCTCCTCCTCCTCCTCCTCCTCTCCTCCTCCTCCTCCTCCTCCTCCTCCTCCTCCTCCTCCTCCTCCTCCTCCTCCCCCTCCCTCTTCCTCCCTCCTCCTCCTCCTCCTCCTCCTCCTCACCCTTTCCCTCCTCCTCCGCCTCCTCCTCACCCGTTCTCCTTCTTCCTCCTCCTCGCCCTCCGCCCCCAAGGGAGGAGGGGGGAGGCCCCTCTCCAGGGAGGGAGGGAGTAGTGATGGAGGAGCAGGGAGCAGTGATGGACCCAAGGGTATAATGATGCCCCAGCCCACTTTCGCCTCGATCACCAGAAAGCGTCTCGAGCACGAGCAGAACGACCGAAGCTCGAGGCTTCTCGCGTGCCCGGGCCCCTGGGCGCCGCTCGCCCGACGCTGCTCCGACACTCTTCCGACGCTCTTCCGACACTCCTCCGACACTTCTCTTGGGTGCTCGACACTGTTTCCGGGATGGGGTCCTCAAGTAAGTACGATGGGAGCAACAGAACTCGGGGGCGGAAAAGAGGGGGGTGATGACTGGGGGGGGGGTGGATATCATGGCGGGGGCCATGATATCTCCCCAGATCTCAAGGCGCCTCTTCTTACTTCGTTACGGCCCTGGCCCCCCCGCGGGGCCGCGCACGTGCCGCCGGCCATGATTCGCACTCCCCCCTCTTGGACGCCCCCCTCTTGGCCGCTCCCGAATAACCCAGGGGCAAGGATGGGGGGGGGGCAGGCACCCGGGGGGGACGCCTCGACCGTGCCTCGCCGACGGGTGCCCGAGGGCCCCCCGAGCCTGCCCAGGGGCCCCCGCGTGCGCACTCGCTCTCGGAGGCCCGGCGCCGCCGCCCTCTCGGCGGGGCGCGGCCCGTCCGAGGCCTGTGATGTTCCGGCCTGCTCCGGCCTTGGCCACCAGAAGGAGTTTCGAGGCCTCTCCTCCTCCTCTCCTCCTCCTCTCCTCCTCTCCTCCTCCTCTCCTCCTCCAATCCTCCTCCTACCCTCCTCCTACCCTCCTCCTACCCTCCTCCTACCCTCCTCCTATCCTCCTCCTATCCTCGTAGCGGAGGCGGCCCGCGTCACCGTGAGCCGTGTCGGAGGCTCAGAGTCGGGGGTGGACAGAGCCCCCAACAGTGACACGTCGATTGGTGAATTGCCCGTTGTCGGTTCTCGAGAGGGTGCCGTGGCCGTCATGTTCCAGGCTCGCGCCCGCCAGGTCTGGGCCTCAGTCCGTTTTCACTAAACCACGTTTTACTAAAGGGGGGTCTGTCCATCCCCAATCGAGCACCAGGAACGTCCCCAAAATGGGAGGGCCCTCGCGTGCCGGGCCCTGGGAGGCACTCGTTTGACGCCGCTTCGGCCCTGTCTCGACACTCGACCGGGTGCTCGAGCTTACTTCTGGGATGTGGTCCTCCAGCACGACGGGAACAGCATAATTCGAGGTCGCTGTCCCTCCCCATGCCCGAGCCGCCTCCCCCCGTCGCTGCCCCCCGTGGGCACGGCCTGGCGGCGCCAGGCCCGCGCTGCGCCGCGCGGACTCGGCGGGCTCCCAGTCGAACGGCTCGGTGTCGTCCTCCGCGACCACGAGGACCCGAGGAGGAGGAGGAGGAGGAGGAGGCGGAGGAGGCGGAGGAGGAGGAGGAGTAGGAGGAGGGGGAGGAGGAGCCTCCCACCCACCCCCGAAAAGACGGCCAGGGGAGGAACATCTCGAGATCTTGGCGTCCCACTTTTCCGCGCCAGGCGACTTCGCCCAGATGCGGGCCCAGGGGCCCTCACCTATCTGTCTGGCTCGGGAAGCTGCGCGCGAAGATGGGGCTCGGGATCCCGGGCGTGATTTTCGGTTGCTCCCAACCATCCTGTGGCGTTGGGTCCTCGTTTTGAAGGGGCAGTCCCCGCGTCTCCTCCTCCTCCTCCTCCTCCTCGTCCTCCTCCTCCTCCTTCGCACCCATTTCGGAACACCCCTTCACAAGGATCGCAGCCCCGTAAGGAGGTTAACAGAAGGCTCCAGTGGCAGGGGATGCATGGCGGCGCCGCACCCATGTCAGTTTCCGCCGCACGAGGATCGTGGCCCCGTAGGGAGCTCCACAGAAGGCTCCAGTGGCAGGGGTTGCCTGGCGGCGCGTCACCCATTTCGGTTCACCTCTTGCGAGGATCGTGGTCCCGCGGGGAGCTCCACAGAACCTTCCAGTGGCAGGGGTTGCATGGCGGCACCGCACCCATTTCGGCTCACCCCTCACGAGAACCGTGGGTGGACCCGTAGGGAGCTCCACAGAAGGCTCCAGTGGCAGGGGTTGCATGGCGGCGCCGCACCCATTTCGGTTCACCCTCAAGGGTCGTGGCCCCATAGGGAGCTCCACAGAAGACTCCAGTGACAGAGGTTGTGTGGCGGTGCCTCACCCATTTCGGTTCACCCTCCACAAGGGTCGTGGCCCCGTAGGGAGCTCCACAGTGGCAAGGCTTGCATGGCGGCGCCGCACCCATGTCGGATTACGCCGCAACAGGATTGTGGCCCCGTAGGGAGCTCGACAGAAGGCTCCAGTGGCAGGTGTTGCATGGCGGCGCCGCACCCATGTCGGTTTGCGCCGCGCGAGGATCGTGGCCCCGTAGGGAGCTCCACAGAAGGCTCAAGTGGCAGGGGGGGGCATGGCGGCGCCGCGCCCATTTCGGTTCACGTTTCACGAGGATCGTGGTCCCGTGAGGAGTTCCACAGAAGACTCCAGGGGCAGGGGTTGCATGGCGGCGCCTTGCCCTTGTCGGTTCACCTTTCACGAGGATCGTGGCCCCGTAGGGAGCTTGACAGAAGGCTCCAGCGGCAGGGTTTGCATGGCGGCGCCGCACTCATTTTGGTACACTTCTCACGAGGATCATGGCCCCATGGGGAGCTCCACAGAAGGCTCAAGTGGCAGGGGGTGCTTGCCGGCGCCGCACCCATTCCAGTTCACCTCTCACGAGGATCATGGCCCCATGGGGAACTCCACAGAAGGCTCCAGTGGCAGGGGTTGCATGGCGGCGCCGCGCCCATTTCGGTACACCCCTCACGAGGATCGTGGTCCTATAAGGAGCCCCGCGGCACATATGAGGAGGAGGAGGAGGAGGAGGAGGAGGAGGAGGAGGAGGAGGAGGAGGAGGAGGAGTTTTTTTTTTCACCGCAACGCTTACAAGGCAGCAGTCAGCTGACCTGGGGAGACTCGGCCAATGTGCTGTGCTATGCCTCACGCACCGCACAGCATGGCAGAGCAAAGGTCAAGAACACTGCACCGAGGATGGGCTGGCATCCCCCAGATTTCGCCGAAGAAGTGCAACCATCCGCTATCCCACTTTGTGGGATTGATCACTCCTGCACTCCATGCAGCTCATCACTACTGCTGCCCCTGACGCCAACATGTTCTACTGCGTTAAGAACATGTTGCTGCAATGCATGACATTAGACGCACGTGATCACAACATTGCTAAAGGCCGCTATCCCACTAAGTGGGATTGATAACCTTTCAAGGATCTACGATGGCCTCCAGGAGTCAGACGGGGGCCAAACTTGCCAGTACAAACGAATTAGTCGGAGTCAACACTATTTCCACCGCTGTGATTCGCGACGGCGCCAGCTGCAGCCTGGAGCCGCAATGAAACAGAGACTCGACGGAGCGTTACGCCCTCATCAGGGGTGGACGGCGCCGCTGGGGCAGGCTGGCCGGGTAGGACACCAGTCGTGTGCTGGCACCCTGGCAGTGGCGGAGGCCCGCTGGAAGACGAGGCAGCTGTTCCGGGAGTGGGCTCCGGGACGCAGCCGAAAAAGGGAGGCGTCCAAGGGGAAGGGAGAAACTTGACATTCTTGGCACGCTTCCTCTCCTGAGGGTGCCTCCCTGCACAAAAATATTTCCAGGCGGTCCTGCCCGCCCCTGGATCTTCGCGTCCATTGCAGGGCTCTCCGAGCTTCTTAACACGGCCACCCGTGCTATAGAAGTGGCACCGCAAACAGATACAGAGAAATTAACCATCAGAGCAATCCACGAGAGCGCATTTGTGACCCATCTCCGACAGCAGAGACGGGGTGAGCTTGGGCAGACCCGCGCACCTCCCAGGGGCAGGTTTGGCCGACTGGATAGAGCGAGCGCTAGGTATGACTTCCGCCCTGGTACCCCTAAGGCACACATTGCATTGCCAGTATTCTCCTTGCCAGGCCCAATCGTGTTCCATGACACTGGAGGCCTTGGGCCGAGGATCTGGCTTCAAGTACTGGGCGGTAGACAAATCGCACTTTGGCCACAGTGGGAGAAGCTTCGTGGCCAAGCGAATTACCGCTTTGCTGGTCTTAATATAAAAATTGATGGTGTCCTGGACATCGGGGCCAGGGGCAGGGTGCAGCGCGGCTCCCAACTTGGCCGCTGTATCGGCGTGCTGGTTCCCGCGTCTTTTGAAATATTCAACATCCGAGATTCCAGCCTCGTCGAGCTCCTTGTGAGCCGCGACTTTGATGACAGTGTCGATTTTTCCCGAGGCGCCGGAGAACCCTTCCAAGACTGAGCCGGCATAGGCCCGTTTGCCAGAGAGGCGGTCCTGGGCGTCCCGGGCACAAGCCGAAACAACACTGGCGCAATCCGAATACAGAGAGGCCTTGTCATCTAGGTTAACGCCCGCAGCAGCGAAAGAAGCGAATTCCCCCGCTTGCGGAGTCTGCGGGAAGTGGGACCAAACGGGGCCGTAACACCATCCCAGCAGAGCCCCCTGGTCCGAAGTCCTCACGAAACCCCAGCCTGCTCGGGACAATTCTTTTATTGCCGATTTGAAACAACTGCCATCGAGGAAAATGTGCCGAGAGAAGCTCAAAGACTCAGGACCCGCGAAAGCAATCCCAGCCTCCTCGAACCCTTCCTGGAAATACTGGAGAACAACGTGTTCCATGCCCTGCTGTCGAATCGGAGGAGGAACCACGTCTCCAGGATGAGGAAAAGCACCCGTGAGAAACAGGATCAGGTCCAAGGAGCCTTCGTCTCTTGCTGAACCTGCTCTGCGAATCGTTGCCGCGTCCACTAGCTCTGCCCTGACAGTCAGCTGGGCCTCCCTGGAGCTCCTGGGGCTGCGGCGGGCTCGCGCCGCGCCGGCGCGGCGGCCGGCGCCGGCTCGGGCGTGCGAGCTCGAGCGCCGCCAGTGGCGCAGGTCTGGCCGACGTGGAGCGATCAGCGCTGTCGTCGGAGGTTGATAGACCTCCTACCCTGACACGTCGATTAAGGAATCGGCCGTTTTCGGTTCGCGAGAGGGGGTCGCGGCCGTCATTTTTGCGGTTCCAGGTCCGTCGGTTTCGGTCCCAGGCCGGTTTCTTTGAGGGGAGGTTTGCTAAAGGGAGGTTTGTCCACCGCCGATCTCGGGAAGCCACGATCGTTCAAGGTGGAACCATCCACGGGTTGTCAGAGGCCAACGCCGACGCCATCGCCGCGCGAAGCTGCCGCACTTCGGGCCCGGGTCTTCTCTTCTGCAGCGCTCGGCAGGTGGGGCCGCCGTCGCCGTGGCCACGGAGGGTCGACGCGCTCGAGGCCTTCGGGTGCCGTCGGTCTCTCGTGGAGTGGGCCTCTGGTGGTGCCTCGTGGAGACCTCCGCAGAGTTCTGGAGGGGCCTCCGCAGGCGGGCGCCGTGCGGCCCGAGCAGGTGGTAAAAAGTCGAGGGGACTCGCGCCGCCTCGCCGATGCATCGGCGATGAAGGCGCGATCTGGGGCCCGATCTCCTCCACCGCGACGTCCCGATGCGTTGCCGGAGGGGGTGCATTGCGCGATGTCGTGATTCAGCCACGCGCAGAGGGGGGTGGGGTGAGGGGGGAGGGCTTCTTAGAAGCACCCCTGCTTCTTAGAAGGCGCGGGCCTTGTCTATAGATGTCAGGCTGGCGCCTTCTAAGAAGCAGCGTCCTTCTAAGAAGCCCCCCCCCCTCCCCCCACCCCCTTGTGCGCGCCGCCAAGTAATGGTGTGGTTCTGTCGGCGCGCGGCCGCGGGCTGCTGCAGTGCAGCTCCGGCGTCTCGGCGTGTCGCGTCCCGGCAGGGGTGCTGCTTTTTCTTGCTTCTGGCCGCAATTTGCCGAGGCCTCGGCAAATTGCGCCTGGGCGAGGCGTGTGAGCGACGCAAGACGCGGTGTCGACTGCGCTGACATCGGCGCGCAAGCTGCCCGCGTCAGGTCGCGCGCAAGCTGCCCTCGCCTCCAATTGTTGCGCGCTGCGCCGGCGGCCCGCGTGAGCTGCCGCGTGAGGTCGCCGTGCCATGCCGCGTAGGACGCGTTTTTGGATCGTCGCCCAGGTGGCATTCGGGTCCTCGGCTGTCCGCGTCCTCTTTCGGGGGTGGACAGAACCCCCAACAGTGACACGTCGATTAGTGAATTGCCCGTCTTCGGTTCTCGAGAGGGCGCCGTGGCCGTCATTTTCCAGGCTTGCGCCCGCCAGATTTGGGCCTGAGGCCGTTTTCACTAAACCACGTTTTACTAAAGGGGGGTCTGTCCATCCCCGACTCTTACTTCCCTGCCCCGCTCCAAACAAGCATTGCCGGAGTGGATTTGGGCGGTACGGTGCGATCCTACGATCTGGCCCGTGGGGGCGGCCTCCGCAGGAGCCGCAGGAGCTCGACCATTGTGAACCTCTCCGGCATGGCCAAGTCGGACGTGCTGATCGAGAAGGTTGCCCAGAGGCCGAAGGAGAAACCACTGCATAAACATGCAGTCAACGCGCCCGGTAAGGACGCGCGCCTTCATCTGGGACGCCCTCGTGTCATTGCCTCTGCGGCCCGTCCTTTGCCGTTTCCACTGGTCGCCCGTCGCCCAAAAATCCCAACTTCGGCTTAAAAGGGACCTGCGTCCTCACCACCGTCCTTACTTTCGGGTGCAACTGCTGGGAGGTCAAATTCTGACTTGGCCCTGGTCCGAAATCCGGTCTAATCCAGTTTACTCCTGCTCAAGCTGGCTCAATCCCGCTTGATCTGGCTCAAGTAGTCCCGCTTCATATGCGGCCCCCCAGTGGGGCTCAATTCTCCCCAATCCTTCCGACGAAGACGTCCCAGTAGTTGCCTCCTAACTTATTACACTCGGGGGTGGACATACCTACCCTGACAGGTCGATTAAGGAATTGACCGTTCTCGGTTCGCGAGAGGGCGTCGCGGCCGTCATTTTGCGGGTCCTGGCCGGTCGGTTTCGGTCCCAGGCTGTTTTCACTAAGTGGAGGTTTACGAAAGGGAGGTTTGTCCACCGCCGATACACGTTGTCTCTGTAAACTTGTGGAGAACCGCGCGGATCTCTCGGCTCGGTTTATGATGTTCCAACCTACTTTAGCCTCGAGTACCAGAAATAGTTTCGAGCACCAGGAAAAAGTCCCGAAACCCGATGGTTTTCGCGTGTCGGAACCTGGGAGACATTCGCCCGACACTGTTTCGACACACTTTCGACACTTTTCCGGGTGCTCGAAACTATTTCTGGGATGTGGTCCTCAAGTGCGATGGGGGGCAACATGAGCGAAGACCCTCTCTGGCTGACCCGGGTCAGCGAGCCGCTCGTGGCCGCGAGGCGGCCGCACATATAGGCTGACCCGGGTTTGCGGAATTGACATATGGCGGCCGCACATGTTGACATAGTGGCTCGAGATTATTTCTGGGATGTGGTCCGCAAGCATTATGTCGGGCCTGTCCCCCTGTCCCCCTACAGGGGGATTCTCCACGAAAAATAAAAAAAACAAAAATACCCCCAAAGGTAAACAAATATTCAAAAATAGTCCCCAGACAATTTTTGGATTAGTTATTGATTCTTTTTAGTGTATTTTTTTTTTTTTTCGTCGAAGCTTCCCCTGTAGGGGGAGAGGCCTGACTTAACGCACGCACGACGGGAGCAACGGAAGGCTCGGCGCCAGGGCCCCCCCGGCCCCTCCCCGGCGCGCGGGGCGCCGCGCCGGCGCGGGGGCGCCGCTCCGGGGAGGGCCCCGGGGCTGCCCGCGCAGGGCTCGGGGAGCTTTGAGTCGGGCCTGTCCCCCTGCAGTCGGGGGCGGAAAAGAGGGGGGGGATGACTAGGGGGGGGTGGATCTCATGGCGGGGGCCATGATATTTTCCCCGGATTTCATGGCGCCTCTTCTTGTTTCATTACTTCCCTGGCCCCCCCGCTGGGCCGCGCACATGCCGCCGGTCATGATTTGCACCCCCCCTCTCGGACACTCCCCTCTTCGCCGCTACCCCTGCAGGAGGATTGTCGACGAAAAGTAAAGAATGCTCAAAAATATTCCAAAGTGGCCCAAAAAATTGCTAAGGCCTTACGGCCAGTGCCGCCGACCCTGGATACCTCGGCCCTCGAGGGTGACGGGATGCGTGATAAGACGTCGGAGGTAAAGGAAGACGTGGCGGAGAAGGAGGCGGCGGAGGAGGAGGAGGAGGAAGGGAGGAGGAGGAGGAGGAGGAGGAGTCAAACAAATGTTCAAAAAAAAGTCCCCTGATCATTTTTGGACTATTTTTGAATATTCCTCCTGTAGAGGGACAGGCCCGACCGAACGGGAGCTGAGGCTGTCTGTGCCGTGCGCCAGCCACGCGCAGAGGGGGGGAAGTCTTACGTCGGGTCTGTTCGTTCTCTACGAGGGGAGAGTGCAAGCATCGTAGGGAAATGGTCTGGAGCGATTTTTGGACTATTTTTACCGGCCTCGAACATATCCCTATCCCTAAGATTGACACGCCAAAAGGCGATGACAATATGAGGGATTCGCCCTCACAAAATAAGGGAACCCCTAAGATTGGCATCGTGATGAGGAGATGCCCAGCATAGGGATAGGGATATGTTCCAGGCTGGTGATTGTATTTGGGGTCATTGTTTGACTACTCTTCATTTTTCGTTCAACATCTCCCTGTGGGAGGACATGCCCGACCCACGGGTAGTCTGGCTGACCCCGAAAAGGGGGTCCTCGGCGAAGAGGGCGTGGTGTAATAGATCTGGTGCAACAGACTTGTGGGGTCGCAGTAGATTTGGGGTGTGCAATACATTCGGGTGCGCAGATGAATCGCTGGGCCTTCGCGTGCAATACACAAGCTGCAATACAATGAAATACGATTCTCTGGCGCAATGCATTTGCGACACAATTGCCCCAAACCTATCGCACCCCCCCCCTTTCAGCTGGACCCCCTTTGGAGCCCCGAGGAGGTAGGGGGAGGGTGGACGGCGTCTTATTTCATCCAGGATCAAAGAACCTCGCTCCCTAATAACACAATAAAGGCGTGGCCTCACTGAGGTCTCTGTCTCTGCATTCTGGATAACCAGGTGGGGCGGCTTGGCTTGATACATCTGCAGGAAAGACCCCTCTATCCTTGATGCTTTTGGTTTCCTAACTTAGGTCGCCTCCCAAAGGGTTGGGAGCCCGATCGTGACTACTCATTAGCAACACCTCTCCTTCTTAGACGGCACGGGCCTTGTTTATAGATGTGAGGCCGGCGCCGTTGGGAAGCAGCCTCCTTCTAAGAAGCCTTTTTCCCCCTCCCCCTACCCCTTTGTGCGCGCCGCCAAGTGTTCTGTTCCTCCTTGCCAGGGTTCACCGAGAGGGCCGCGCGGATTCGCGCGGGTGGGCGGGGGACATCGACGCGGACGCCGAGGACGGCGAGACGAGGAGCTCGAGGAAGCGCAAAGCTGGGCTGTGTCAACGCGGATTAGCGACGGGACCCCGCTTCCGTGCAGCACTGGCGCGCTCTGCCGCCAGAGGGGCACTGGCCTCACATGTCGGGGGCACGTTTCCTGATCCATGGGTCTGGCGCCCACGCACCAGATCCGCGGATCACTGCAGTCAAGTCGCATAGTAAGAATGAGCTTGGCATCGCTCGGACGTGTGCATTTTTTCTCGGCGACGGCCATCGAGGACCATCCTTGATCAATTGGCGAAAAAAACCCGCACGAAATCGAAAAATACACGAGGAATGGACGTCCGAGCGATGGCGAGTGAGGGACTCCTCGAGGATGTCCTTGCAACCCCTGCCCCTTCGGGCGACCTTCACTGGCCCTGCCCCGCTCGAGAACGCCAATAACTCGGAACTTCTCGGATCCACGCTGGGCCCGCCTGGCGGCGCCTCCGGCGCCGCCCCTGGCGCGCCCCGTGCGCCAGGGAAGGGGGGCCCAGCGGGGATCCGAGAAGTCCGCGCGGACCTCCGAGTTCTGATGTTTCTGCCACTCTCCGTGCCCCTCGAGAAGACGCCGCGGCTGAGGGAGTCAGCTCGGTGCCCAGGCCCCCAGCGTCATGATCCTTTCGTGGCGTCGCCCCCCACGCTCGCGCACCGCCAGGAGGGGCGACGGCGAGGAGAGGACGCCGTGGCCGAAGCAGTCGGCTCGGTGCCCTGGCCCCCGACGTTCTCTTGCAGCTCCCCCAGTTGCCAATGGCTCCCTCGAGGGCGCGAAGTCATTCGCGCTTCGCGCTTCGGCTCCGATTCCTCCTCATCCTCCCCTGCTCCCTTTCCCTGGGGTGGGAGGCGCGAGAGCGCGAAGTTGTTCGCACTTCGCGCTCCGCGCAGCGCGAAGCGCGAAGCGCGAAGTCGGGGGGGAGCCCTTGGGTGCAGCCAGTGCTCGAGCCAAACGGCGTTCTGGCAATTCCGTGGACCGTCTTCGTCTTGACTTCGCTCTGCAGCAAGTGTGGCACGAAGAGGAGGAGGAGGAGGAGGAGGACGAGGAGGAGGAGGAGGACGAGGAGGAGGAGGAGGACGAGGAGGACGAGGGATGACGAACACAACACGAAAACGGAAACCACGGCTTCACTCGAGCCCTTGGGCTTCAGCCCTGCGGTCGAGGCGCGGAGGCGAAGGGCCGCTCCGGGGCTCTCCGAGGCGGGCGCCCTGGCGTCGGGGTGCCGCTCTCCTCGGAGCATATCCTGGGAGCCTCGAGAGACGGGCCTCCAGTGTCATTCCGCTAGCAATGATGATGCCCATGTGTCGCTAATTTGCGTTGTTGAGGGGACACCCAGATCGGCGGTGTGCCTCCACCGAGGGAGGACGATCCCGATCTCGGTGGTGGTGGCAATATTCTGGCTTCCAAGGTGACCGAAACATTACCACCAACACCGAAATCTCAGGCCATCTTCCCCCTGTGGAGGCGACCCCCTGTCTTGGTGTTGGTGCCCATTTCCAGGCCTCCAAAGGGGGGTCGGGGGAGGAGGAGGTGCTCCAGGTCTCTCAACACAGTGCCGTTTTTGATGCATGCTCCGCGTGCGGATCATGCATCAAACATGCACGAATTTAGTGTGAAACACAACGATGAGTTCATGCATGAATTTATTCACAAAGTAATCATGTACTCAGATCCAATGTTAAGAAATCTTATGTATTAAAAACTGCCCTGTAAGCGGGGAGGAGGAGGTGCTCCGGGTCTCACAACAAGGGGGGAAACTCAAGAACACTCTAGAAATAGTCTGGGGACATTTTTTCAGTATGTTTCATTTTTCCTCGAAGGTCCCCCTGAAGGGGGACACGCCTCGAGGTGGGGATCGGAGGAGGAGAAGGTGCTCCAGGTCTCTCAGTAAGCGTGTGGGGGGTGGATCGCGTGGGGGGTGGGAAGCCGCCGTCCTTCCGGGTGCGTGGGGGGTTGGGAAACCGCTGTCCTTCGTGGTGGGAAACCGCCGTCCTTCGGGGAGCCTTGAGACGGGGGTCAGAGGAGGAAGAGGTACCCCTACCGTTAGGTCGGGCCGGTCTCTCTACAGGGGGGAAGTTCAAGAATGCTCAAAAAATAGTCAAGGGATATTTTTTCCGTTTCTTCCATTTTTCGTCGAAAATCCCCCTGAAGGGGGTCACGCCTCGAGAGGGGGGTCGGAGGAGGAGAAGGTGCGCCAGGTCTCTCAATAAGCGTGGGGGGGTGGGTCGCGTAGGGGGGTGGGAAGCCGCCGTCCTTCGGGGTGCGTGGGGGGTTGGGAAACCGCTGTCCTTCGGGGTGGGAAGCCGCTGTCCTTCGGGGAGCCTTGAGACGGGGGTCAGAGGAGGAAGAGGTACGAGCATGTCTCTCTACAGGTGGGAAATTCAAGAATGCTCAAAAAATAGCCTGGGGATATTTTTTCAGTATGTTTCATTTTTCGTCGAAAATCCCCCTGAAGGTGGACACGCCTCGAGACGGGGGTCAGAGGAGGAAGAGATACTCCAGGTCTCTCAATAAGCGGGGGGGGGATGGATCGCGTGGGGGGGGGTGGAAAGCCGCTGTCCTTCGGGGGGCGTGGGGAGGTTTGGGAGCGAGAGGGGGTGGGTTTGGGGCGCGTGGGGGGGCGAGCAAGGGGCGCCGGACAGGTTGGCACGGGGGGGGGCTTATTGAAGGATTTGGAGTACCCAGACCGCTACCCTTCCCTCGTTTCCCCTTTTTGGGCCTCGAAATCCTGGTCAGAACGCACCCCGGGAGAGGTCCAGGGAGTAACGGTATCGGTACCTCTTGGTTTCTCCAGGGGGTCAATGCAAGCGGGGGTCAGCCAGAGCGCCTGATCTTGCAGGATCCTGCAGGGCAAGGGGCGCATTGACCCAGGCTTGGGTGCAGGATCCTGCAGGATCCTGCAGGATCCTTCGCATCGACCTGGGTTTGGGTGCAGGATTCTGCAGGATTCTGCAGGGCCTGGCTGAGCCGGGTCTGGATTGAACCGGGTCAGAAGATCCCCGAGCCATGTTCGGGAAAGCCCTTTCGTTCCTTACAGTCAGCCCGCATTGTATTAGGTCGGGCGTGTCCTCCTACAGGGGGGATTTTGGACGAAGAGTGAAAAATAGCCAAAAGATGTTTGAAAATGCGGAGCAATACGGAAAAGATCGCCCCCAGACTATCGTCGAACTATTTTTGAATTCTCCTCCTGCAGAGGGGCACGCCCGATTTCAGCACAGTAAGGAAGGGCAGCATTCCCAAGGGTACCCTTGCATCCTTGCCTCCTCGGTCCATCCCTGGCCAGTTTCGCTCGCCGCGCCTCGCTCGAGAAGCTCCGGAGTGGGCGCCCAAGGCCCTTGCGTCCTCACCGCGCATCTTTCTGCCACGTGCCGGCTGTGCTCGGCTCTCCCTCTGGCGGCGCGTCGACTGCACCGCGCGTCCCTCTCGTGCGATCTGCCTGTCGTCCCCGTCGGCGTGCGCCCGAGGAGCGGGTATAGCCAGGACCTCGGGGAAGGGGACGCGGTTAGTGGTAGGGCCCTGATGGGGCCCCTCAATTGGCCAGATTCACTAAACCGAACCAGGTTTGCCGTAACTGGTGTTTTTCGGGTGACGGCAGTTCCGGTTAGTGGAAATGGGTCGGGGGGGCGCCCCCGGGACAGATCACTGCCAACGCCCGACTGTCAGCGTGCGCCCGAGGAGCCTGCTCAGCGCGGAGGAGCGGCTGGACCGGATGGGCTGCAGCCCCGCCCTGTCGCGCCTGCAGCGGCTCTCCGGCACGCTGGGGGACCCGAGGAGCCAGGGGCCTCGGCCCCACCAGAGCGGTCTGCTCGCGACCGTCCTTGTGGTGTCGGGCCCTCGTTTTGAATGCGCATCGCCCTGCGTTCCTCCTCCTCCTCCTCCTTTTTTCCTCTTCTCCTCCTCTCCTCCTCACCTCCTCCTCTCCTGCCCTCCTCCTCCTCTCCCTCTCTCTTCCTCCCCCTCCTCTCCCTCCTCCCTGCGGGTCAGGCCCCATTCTGCCACCCTGCTTGAGCCCGTGGCTCAAGACTCCAGGGAAAGACCGCGCCGGGGGGGCCCTCTGACCTTAGGTTATGAGCCCTTCGCTCCCGGCGCCAGCATCTGCCTCGTAACCTTCACTTGCGTGCCCGATTGATCGGATGACGGGTGCTGCATCTCTCTGGATTCCGGATGACGACGACGAACTAGCTGAAGTAATTTCTACTCGGCTGGCGGCGGATGCTCCGCAACACTCAGGAGGGAAAGAAACACACAGACACAATTAATCGTCGATTTTCCCGAAAATATAGGAAAATATGGGAAGTGGGGGGAAGACAAAAACCCAGAACATATGGGAAAATATGGGGAATCCTGTTATCTGTGTATTTATCTGTGTGTCCCAGGGCCCCGTCAAACACCGCTGACGCGCAGGTCACCGCCGCAGACACCAGCACGTACGGGCAGGCGAGCAGCGCCTGCGCCCCTCCGTGCCGACAGCCGTGGCGAGGCGCCTTGCCCGAATGGGCGCCGGGAGGAGCCACCAGGGTTGTCATCAGAGGCGACGATATTGGGGGAACGAAAAGTGGCATGAACATAAAAACTCGGAGGTCCGCGCGGATTTCATGGATCGGCGCTGGGGCCCCCCAGCGGCGCCTCCGGCGCCGCCCCTGGCGCGCTCCGCGCGCCAGGGAGGTGGGTCCAGCGCCGATCCGAGAAATCCGCGCGGACCTCCGAGTTTTTATGTGAACGTAACTGTTTGTTCCCCTAGATATGGGCGAATAGCCCAGGGGAGAGCACACATGTATTCAGGTGCGCCGATGATCTATGCCTTCGAAAAGGCTCCCGGGACTCCCGGGGGAGTGCGTGTAATGCCCGCCCCTGGGCTATTCGCCCCTATTGTCGCCGCTGCAAAAATGGATCAAGTGGGCGTGGATTAGCGACGGGCCCCGTTTCCATATGGAATCGCGGACTTCCGCCGCCGAGCGAGGCGGCACCAGCCGCATTTTGGGGGTGGCACCTCCTCCGATCCATGGATTTGGCGACCGCGCGCCCGATCCAGGGATCGCTAATCCGTTTTTGCGCGCCCCCGGTACACCACCACAGCCAGCTCCAACGACGACAGCACCGAACGCTCCACCTGACGTGAACGCTCTCTTCGTGTGCAAGCTCGGGGAGAGCCTTTCAGAGATCGCGCGTGAGCTGGCCGTCATGGAGTCGGGCGGCGGCGGGGGGAGGCGGCAGCCCACCGCAGCCGCCGCACGCCCTGCCGAGAAGTGTCCCCCGAGCCCCTCCGTCGGTCGAGCCGTGGCGCGCGCGGGTCAACGCCAGGCGCTCGCCAGCAGTTGCGGCCTGCAGAAGGAGCGCTGCGCAGATGCGGTGCAGCCCGCCCGCGTAGGAAGGATGGCCAAGCTTCTCGGGGAGACCCTTGCGTCCGTACCTCCTCGGTACTTCCCTGGCCTCTTTCGTCGGCCGCGCCCCGCTCGAGAAGCTTCGACATGGGCGTCCAAGGCCCTTGCATCCTTGTCGCGCACACGTATGATACGGGCCGACTGTATGACTGGGTCCTCAGGGGCCCGGACCTGCACCGTTCATTGGTTTACGGCACTTGGCTTGCACCGCAGCCGAAAAGGCTTTCTTCTTCGAGCTCTGCGGTCTCGCGGGTGAGGAGCTGTGCCTTGACTTTGACTAAGACCGCGCCGACGGCACATCGATGCTCGCGGCTCTTGCCGGGGCCGTCTGGAAGTCCAGAGCAACGTACGTGTCAACCCTGAATTTCAAATCCATTAACCCTCCCTGGGGTGACCCACCCCCTCAACAATAATTTGATTAAGGAATGTGGGTGAAGCCTTGTGTCGGCGATTCTGCTGGGCACGTTCTCAAAATCTGCCTTGTTTGGCCCATGGTTTGGCCTGGTCTGACCGCGTGCACCGCCTGATACAATCTCCGAATTTACCTGGTTTGGCCCCTGGTTTGGCTTGGTTTGGGCCCCGAACCGGTCACCGACAAAACTAAATTGCACCACGCGCTCCTGGTATGGAAGACGGCTGACTGCGACGAGCTGCGGTCCGTAGACTCCGCACCCTCCGCGCCCTTACGTTCACTGCGGAGGCTGATCGGTGAGCTCAAGCCACTCCAAGTGACCTTGGATATGGTTCCGTACTCGCACCCGAACGATGTCCACGTCATCTACGAGATGGCTGAGCGGAAGGCTGGCGAGTGGCCATTCTTGCACGACGCGCCAACCACGAACACCCCACCGCCGCCGAAAAGCTTCTCAACTGGCGCTGCTGCAATTGGCAAGCAATGCAAGGGCAAAAACGGTAAGAAAGACACAGGCAAGGATGCGTGGATCCCATGCTCTTTCTACATGGGCGGCTGGTGTTCCGTGGGCGACAGGCGCCACTTCTACCACAACACCACAGGTCCCGCGCGCACCCCAGGCACGCCGAGCGGCGCTTCGGCCAACAAACACAACGTCACCCGAATGACGCCTGCAGGCTCTGTTTCCAATCTGGCCACTGGGGCAATTCATGCCCGAACAAAGGCAATGGCAAAGGCAAAAGAAAGGACGAAGGTAAAGCGTTTGACAACACCAATGCCAGGTGGATTGGAACCAGCAGTTTGGGCGGTGCACTGGGGGCGCCCGTGCCGCAGCGGAGCCGGATCGGAGCCGGCAATTTCGCGCTCGTCACAGAACCGAGTTGGATCAGGGCCATCCAAGCCGGCGCGTTACGGGGCGGCGGATCGGCGCCGCCAGCCCGGCCAACAGCAACCGCTGTCATTTTAAGTCCGCTCGCATCACAAGCAGAGCAGCACGTGGAACAGTTAAAAGCAGAGCAGCAAGGTCTTCCTGCAAAGAAAGAGTGGTCAAATGGCGCGGCCCGCGTTCAAGTCCATCAGCATCGGCGCGCGCGGGGTCGCGTGCGACGTCCTCCGTCTGATCGCGAATTCCGGCGCTGAGATGCATCTTTTGCGCGGCAGAGATTCCCTGCGCGCAATGAAGTCAGATACTTCTGCCGCATCCAGTCTTGCACGAGACCGCCAACGGCGAAACGCATCTCGTCGAAGAAGCAGATTGTGTGTGTGTGTGTATTTGTGGCGCTTGTCCACGCAGGATATCCGTCCGTTTTGCCCCGTGACAAGCTTATCCCTCCCATCCCGCGCTTTTCTTACAGACGACGGGCAGGGGGCACGGGCGCGGCAGACTCGGGGCGACGTTGGCGAGCGACGCGGGAAAACAACGCGATGCGGTCGGGGAGGTTGTTACTCGTCTTTGGGAAAAACCAGCGCTGGCTTGAAAAGCACCCCGTCTCTCGCCGACGCCCCCGCTGCTCTCTTCGACGCGCGGGCGCGTGGCGAGGAGGAGAAGGCGCGGGAAGAAGCGGGGAAGGGGGGGGGCGGGCGTCCTGCGACAGGCCAGGGGGCAGTCGCGGCGATGGGGCCTCGCCCGGTTGGAGCCAGCCCGTTGACCTGTCTGGCGCGTCCGTCTCCAGGCGCCCCTGGCGGCCGCGGCGGCGCGGGGCCTCGCCCCGCTGCCGTCGCGGCGCCGCGATGTGGCCTATCGTGGCCAGAAGTTGCTCCCGCTGGCGCGCATGCTGGGCTCGCATTTCGAGGGGATGCCGTTCCTGTTTTCACGCAGTTCAATTATTGTATCGATTTTCCGCGCAACGCTGGTTCTGACACTCCTGTTCTCCTGGAGCCCGCGCTCCATCCGGCAGAATCCACCACCTTAAGAGGGGCAAATTTGGGATCGCATTCGACGGGAGCACATCGACGATCGCGACCCAGGCTGCGACATTTGCGTCAAGACTAAGCTCCGTGCACGCCTCTTCTGGCGCATCTCGGACGAGAGCGCCGGGGGCGACGTGTCTGCAGATCTGACTGGTGGCAGGCGCGGCCTGACGCGGACTCGCGATCGGACTGCCGCGCGCAGGATCGACCGCAGTCAGGGGCGCCATGATCACGCGTGAGCTTCACTAGCGTAATTGTGGCGTTTCCAACCCGGCCTCGGCGCGGAGTTTTCTGGGGCGCGAAGAACGCTCGCGCGATTTCGGCGCAGTGCATGCAGTCGCGGAGCCGGCGGCGTTGCTGGGCGCCGCAGCCAGAGCCTGCTCGAAAATGCGCGGCTCATCTTTCTGCAAGATGCTGCTCCAAGGGCGCTCAGGGATGAGGTGCCCCAAGGTGCTGGCAGCGCCTGTAACGGCGCGCCCCGCGCGGCCCCCGGCTCCGCGAAGAGCAGGTCCCACGGGCGTGGGGGATCTTAACGGCGCATTTCACGAAGTTTCCAAGTGCCTCCATGGGGGCGCAACGTATAGTGCTTCGTGCACGCGCCGCAGCGGATGGGCGAGCTCGACACCCATGAAAAACTCGGAATCTGCGTCGGCTTCGATTTGACGATTTATGGGGGGGGCACGGGCTGCCCCGATCACCGCCATCGGTGATCGGTGGGTCGCCCAGCGGTCGAGCTTTGCAGCGCGCATCCGCGAGGCGATATTCCCTTTTCTTCTCCGCGCTGCCAGCGCCCTGGGGCGCGCCCGTGGATTCGGGTCGGGGGCTTCCCCGAGCGACGCCGAGACAGATGTTCTCCGGGGGGCCCCTCTCGGCCCGGCGACGCAGGCGGGCCGCGGCGAGGTGCCTCGCCCGGCTGGGCCCCGGCGGGCGCCCCGGGGCCCAGGCTTGGACGATTCCTGTCGCTGGATCAAGCAAGAGGGCCATGCCCGAGGAGAGACGACGCTAGCGGCGGGGGCCACGCGCGACCGCGGGGCAGCTCGGCCAGGGGTGCCCTGGAGGGCCCGTCGTCGCGACGTCCGCGCAGGCGTAGATCCGCCCGAAAATTGGTCGGGCTCGGACTCTGAGCCCCGCCGCGGGGCGCCGTCGTCTTCGGCGCCCCCCGATGCGTCTGGGGACGACACGCGCCCAGACCTATCCCCGCAGGAAGTCGCGGCGTCGTTTGCGAGGATTGCGCCCGCAAAGCCCGACCCCCCACTTTGCTTTTCAGCCTCGGATGTCAGCCGGTCTTCTTCGGCGGGGATCGCCCGGCAGGAGCCGCGGTCTGAGATGCCGCGCGCGCTCGCGCGCCTGGCGGCGCGCGCCGCCGAATCTTTTGCCGCCGAGAAGTACCTCGAGACACCTCGTGGCGATGGGGCGGCGACCCGGGAAATCGCTCGACTGACTGAACACCCCGCGCTGGCGCCGCCCCGGGAATTCGATTCAATTTCGGAGCCCGCCCGCGTCGCGAACAGGCGAGCGCTCCATCGTCGAACAAACTTCGAGCTCCCAGTAGCGCCTCGCCAGTGCAAGGCCAGATTCGCGGCGACGGGGGACGTTCTCTTCAGCGGGCGCATGCGGGTCATGAAGTCATCTGCCGTCTTCTCGCGGTCTCCCGTTGCTGGGGTGGTCGCAGGTCGGTCCGCGCAGGCGCGCGGCTAGGCCATAGTGGCGCGGGCCGAAATTATAGATCCATCGACCGCGCGCGCGCGCAGATCCCCCCCGGGGGGTGACATCGCATTCGACGTAATCGCACGGGCGGGAGTCGTAGACGCCATTTCTGCAGAAATCCGTCGTCTTTTCCCGCCAGTGCAAATGTCAGTTTGCAGATAGAAGTGCGCGTCGGATGATCTTCAGCGGTCTGACTCCGACTTCGTCGCCTTGTTGGCGCAGCGGTTCATTGGAACGAGTGGCAGTCGACGAGGAGGAGCCAGTTGTCGTCTATCTATGGCGGCGGGATGACGACCGAGATGCCTTCTACAGCATTGAAGCTAAATCATTTCTTGGTGGTGCGAAATCCAGGCTGGCCAGAATCCGTTTTCTCCGCAAGTCATGTCTGAGGTGCCCTCCCGGCGCCGCGCGTTCCGGCAAGTCGCGGCCCCGCTCCGCCCGCAAAATTGCAGATCGAAGCGTTGCTCTTCCATGGTTACGTATGTCGGCGACTGTGCACAAGGCGCGCAGAATCGTCATTGCGAGAGCACCAGGGCCATCGTCCGCACGATGTTTGCCTCGAAAACGCCTGAGATGGTGAGCGAGGTTTTGGGGTGCAGAGTCGCCTTCCGCGTATCCTGCCACTCGCTGGCGGTAGGTCAGGCACCGCGTGCGCAATATCTCGCGCCGACGAAGCAGACGCGTCGCCATCAATCTTCGGGCCGTCGCAAAACGAACATCGCGACCAGCAACAGCGTTCGCTTAACAAACGCCGCTTCCACGTCCGGAGCGCGCCCCGCCGTCGGGGGCCGGCGCCGGCAGGGTCGAGATGGTCGGAGAGGGCCTCCTCGTCGCCCCGGGTTCGCGCCCTGACGCATCCTTCGCTGCGGGCCGCGTCGCCCGGCGCGTCGCCAGGTGGCGCCCGTGAGAAGAGGCAGAAATTGCGCATCTCGCGGGCCATTTGTCCACGACGTCTAACGTCGAACTGGTCACGGTCGATGCCGGCGACAGAGGTGGCGATTTATTCGTTCGCGCGTGGTCCGACGCAGATTTCAGCGCACCGAAAAACACCGCGGGGTTTTCTTCGAGCCAGTCGGGCCGCAGGGCTCTCGTTGCCCCCTCCCGCGGGCGTCTGCGCGCCAGGACATCGCCGCGACGAGCGCGCAAGGGCAACGACGGCCAGCATTGCTGTTCGTCTCGTGGCCGTGGTACAGCACGCGCGCCCCGCGCCAGTAGAGATGTTTGGTCTTCTGGACAACCGGGCCGTTGAACATGCCGTCAAAAAAAACATGTGAAGACGCGTGCGGATAGCGCCGACCTTGCGCGGGCGCAGTATCGCACCGAACCGCGCGCCTGGAATCCACGGGGGCCGATGCGTTCAACGAGTTTTGCGCCGCAGTAAACTGATGTGTTTTTTTTACGGCTCTTGTTTAGCATCTAGTTGATCATTTCGGCCGCGTATCGGTCCGAGCGCGCGTGGTTGAGGTCCCATCGGGGCCGTCGGCGTGTTGATCCTCGTCGCGGAGGCGCAGCCAGATATTGCCCGGCCAGCGCGTGGTGGAGTTCGCTTGTCGGGCGGCGGCGCTGGAGAACGCCGAGGGCGCCGCCCAAAGCGCCGCCCGCTTCGACCCTCGCCGCCCCCCCGCGGCCAGCGCGCTCGAGCACCCTGACCGACCTCTTCCGCCAGGTCCGCGAGAAGGCGGCCATTCTGAAGGCGCACGCGCACCTGGGGCAGTGACAGTCGCTGCGAGGGGCCTCGCCCGGCTGGGCCGGACCGCCCGCAGGCCAATATTTGGAGGGCGAAAGAGGGGGTCCGCAACAGGGGGTCTTCAATGGGGGCTGAATGGCCCATGTATGCTCAATGTATCGCTCATGTATGTGATCGGGTACGATTGGCATCCAATGCTGGCGGTCATTGATGGCCAGTCATTCGTGCCCGCGCGTTGCCCGCGCGGGCGCGCGCGCCGTCCATCCCTTATCGTTCATGCGCGCGGGCGTTCTTGCATATTGCGCGTGGGCCGGCGAAATGGAGTGCAGGTGTGTCTTGATTGTGCGGTTGATGATCGCGTATGTTCCCAAACGATGACTTCTCGACCCCCAAGACAGATTTGGATTGGGCCCCGCGATTCTCCCAAAATGTGAATTCACATTTCTGTTTTTCCCAAAATGTGAATTCACCTTTTCCTTTTTCCCAAAATGTGAATTCACATTCTGGCCCCTTCATAAAGAATCCTACGCAAAATTCCAAAATGTGAATTCACATTTTTCTTTTTCCCAAAATGTGGATTCACATTTTCCTTTTTCCCAAAATGTGAATTCACATTTTGCGTTTCCCCACAATGTGAATTCACATTTTGCCCTGGCCTTCAAGATCCCCAAAACTGAGGCGCAGTGTTCCGCATGTCAGATTGGCTGGGCCGATTCCGACACTCACCTGACCGCTTTCGTGTGTTCCAACCATTTCTTTTTGCGCCCTTAGCGCGCGTTGCCTTCGTCGCCTTTCCCGAGCCCCCGCCCCCTTGCTTCCTTTCCCCTCAAGTCTCGCGCGCGGGCGCAGGCGGGGGGCTTCAATTGGCTCCCCCGCCGAACACAGTAATCGAGGATGCATCGCCCATTCATGGCCTTTAAAAACATCATTGCCGGGACCCTGCGCCCGACCCCCACTTTCACCCTTCAAAATATGTCCGCGGCCGCGCTTGTGCATGGGTGGCTCGGCCGACGGGCGGGGGGCGCTTCCGAGCTCGGGCCGACAATGCGCCCGCAGCTTGCGCGGGCTCCTTTTGCCACACGTTGTGATTCCGAGCGCCCAGTCACAGTGTTTGCGATCGTGATCGATACATCGTAGGACGATTTTTCCGGGGGCGCGTGCGCCGATCCCCTCGAAGGCAGTCCATTTGCCATCGACCTCGACGCTGTCGACCGCCGCGGCGCCTTCAGGCCATTCATTTCGCAGGCTGGGGACACCCCCCTCCCCCTCCTTCCTCCCGCTTGTGCCGTCCGCGCGTTTGTGTTGTCCTCCTCACCATCAGCGTCCTCGTCGTCGGCACACCCCATCACATGTTTCGCGGCCCCGCAGGTAACCGTCTTATTGCGATGTGCCATGGGCCGTCTTCGGCTCGCCAACTCTTTTGCAGCAGAGGCTGGACGAAGGCAAATCACGGGACAACGAATCGGCGTCACCCCAACCTATAGTATCACATTGGAGTCCCATTCCACGAACCACCCTGCTTGCCTCCAGGGTGCCCTGGGTCTCTGAGGTGTCGATGGTTCTGCGATGGAAGGCGTGACGTTCCCCCACCAAAAATCCCTGGACGTCTTAGGGTCTCAATGTTGGCTTTCTCGAGGGAGATCTCTCGTGGACTAGCCTCCGCTGTAGTTTCTCCTCCTCCTCCTCGCCCTCCTCCTCCTCCTCCTCCTCGCCCTCCTCCTCCTCCTCTCTCCTCCTCCTCCTCCTCCTCATCCTCCTCCTCCTCCTCCTCCTCCTCCTCCCCTCCTCCCCCTCCCCCTCATCCTCCTCCCCCTCCTCCTCCTCCTCCTCTTCCTCCTCCTTCTCCTGCTCCTCCTCCTCCCCCTCCTCCTCCCCCCCCTCCCCCCCCTCCTCCCCTCCTCCCTCCTGGCCTCCGCCACGCCAGCGCTGCGCGTGCGCCCCGGCGGGCCCGGCGCGAGGCCGGGGCAGCAACCCCCGCGGGGGCCCCGCCGCGCGAGGAGCCACGACGCCCGGGCGGTGGGCGTGGACCTGCGCACGCTGAGCCAGGCGCGGCGCGGGCGGAGAGGGCCAGGGGCGACGATGGTAGGGGAACGAAAAGTGACATAAACATAAAAACTCAGAGGTCCGCGCGGATTTCACGGATCGGCGCTGGACCCCCCTCCCTGGCGCGCGGAGCGCGCCGCGCCAGGGGCGGCGCCAGAGGCGCCGCCGGGGGGGCCCAGCGCCGATCCGAGACATCCGCGCGGACATCCGAGATTTTATGTTTATGTCACTTTTTGTTCCCCTAGATGGGGGCGAAGAGTCCAGGGGAGAGCAACCTGTGCACTCACAGGGAAGCAAAAAGTGGCACAAACATAAAAACTCGGAGGTCCGTGCGGATGTCTCGGATCGGCGCTGGGGCCCCCCGGCGGCGCCTCCGGCGCCGCCCCTGGCGCGCACCGCGCGCCAGGGAGGGGGGTCCAGTGCCGATCCGAGAAATCCGCGCGGACTTCCGAGTTTTTATGTTTATGTCATTTTTTGTTCCCCTAATTCAGGAACGCCGAGGATCTATGTCTTCGGAACGGCTCCCGGGCGAGTGCGTGTCATGTCCGCCCCTTGGCTATTCGCCCCTATCGTCGCCGCGGAGAGGAAGTGTACCCATCGGTCGTTGAGAGTGGGCACTTCTGGATCCCCAGACTCCAGTCTGCTTTTGGAGCGCCCTCCTGCTTCAAGGATCGAGCGGAGTTGGTGCGGAGAGGAAGTGTACCCATCGGTCGTTGAGAGTGGGTACTTCTAGATCCCCAGACTCCAGCCTGCTTCGAGCGCCCTCCTGCTTCAAGGATCGAGCAGAGTCGGTACGGAGAGAGTCAGAGTAAGAAAAGGTACCCATGCCTCTACCCTCTCCTCGTTTTCCCCACTTTGGGCCTCCTCGGAGGCCCTCGTCGCCACCGCTGGATTTGCGATGAAATCCTGGTCAGAACGCACCCCAGGAGACGTCCGGGGAGTAGCGGTATCGGTCATTTTTGGTTTCTCCAGAGGAAGGATACCCATCGGTCGTTGCAAATGGGCATTTCTGGCTTCCCCAGTCTACTTTGCGCGCCCTCCTACTTCAGTGATCGAGTGGCTTCCCCTTTTTCTCCGTCCTCCTCTGGGGGCGGGCGGAATCTGGTCTACTCTCAACGCTTTCCTACTTCATGTTCCTACCCACTTCTTCCGACCACTTGGTACAATGCCCAACGGCAGTTCCTGTTCACTTTGAACAGAACTCGCTGTCCGCGCCGCCACGGACGTTGTCCCTTCTGAGGCAGAAGGCCACATGCCCAGCAGCGGCCGCTGTCAGTTTTGGGCAACATTGATTGTTGGGCATCGTACCTGTCTTTTCGGTACCCGTCTCGGTCGTCCAGACAGGTCATCTTGGACGACGCGCACTTGAAGAGGACGTGCAGCTTCCTCCCCATTCGAGGAAGAAACAGCGGTACACAACCAATGCGCCGAAATGAGGACCGCTTTGGGCTTGGCAGGGGCCCGCTGCTCTTTCGGGTCCCTCCGTGGCTGTTCCTCGAGCCCCTCCTCCTGCACCCAGGCGCCTCTGAGGGCTAGGACGGGGCTTCACGTTCCTTATTTGGCGTTCCTGGGCTCAGCAGCCTGACTGCAGGCATGCGCGCTCGGAGCTCCGCGCGGATTTCCTGGATCGGCGCTCGGCCCCCCCTTGGCGACGCCTCCGGCGCTGCCCCCCATGTCCGGCGCAGATCCGGGGCACCCGCGCGGAGCTCGGTCAGCTCGTGCCCGTGCCGCCGTTTCGGTTCCTCGGCTCGTGACGCTCATCTTCTTCGCGCTGTTCGCGTTCTTCGTGCTGGAGCACTACCAGACCTCCTACGTCTATCCAGGGCGCCTGGCGGCGCCAGACCGCCCGCGAAGGGGAGGCTCGCCGGGGCCGACGGCCCCGAGGCGGGGCGAGCAGGGGCAGAAGCGAGGCCCAGGGCCAGGCCCAGGAGGGGCCAGGAGGGGAAAAACACAGACACTTTTTTTTGGTCGGCGGGGCGAGAGCGAGCCTCTTCCGCTAGAAACTGGGCGGGCTACGCACAGCTTCAAGTAGGGAGACAGGGCACAGGCGGGCGGGGTCTCAGGCGGCCGGAGTGGGCGGGGCCCAGGGTGCAAACACACAGAGACAATCAATCGTCGAATTCCCCAGAAAATATAGGAAAATATGGGAAGTGGGGGGGAGGACAAAAACCCTAGAAGACATGGGGAATTATGGGGGACCTTGTTATCTGTGTGTATTTACTGGTTCAGTCCCAGGGCCCCCTTCGCGGGGGCGAGTGCGGCTGCGCGGATCGAGCAGCGGAGAGGGGCGTGGGCATACCGGGGAGGGCCATGCCAAGAAGGCACCTTGCTCGCCTCCGGGGCGCCCTGGGTCTTGCTTTGGCGCCCTGGATCTTGCTTTGGAGACGTTTCCAGAGGCCCTCAAGAGGGCCCTCGAGAGGGCCTCCAGAGGCCAAAAACATTGATTTCCCAAGGTTTTCGGAGGTTTTTCGGGTTCTCGCCTTCTCGGGCCCAGAAGGAACCATCACGGCCCATGAGGTCCCAAAGCTGGGTTTCGATAGTTTTGCGATGGAGAGCGTGGCGTTCCCACACCACAGGTCAGTGGACGTCCTGGGGGTCTCGTGGTGGGGTGTTCCTCGTGGAAGGCTTCCTGTGGCCGAGCCCCGACTGCAGTCGGGATGGCCAGCAAGGGAGAGTGCGAGGGGGCTGGCAGGTCCCGGCACACTGCAGTTTCTCTCAGTTCCGCGCGGGGCTCCCAAACCGAGCTTCGATGGAATTTCGAGGCTTGAATCTGCAGAAGGTTGATCACAAGACGGATTGCTTTTCGAGGTGCAGACGGCACCATGGATTTCACCCTGAGCCCTCCACTCTAAGATTGTGGAGGTCGAATAATGGAGAGGAAGCATGCTGCCAAATCACTTCCAGATGTCGAAAGCATGTTTCAAACCCGTCTCGAACGTGTAAAAACATGCCCGACACACGTTTAGAACACGCTTTACACATTTTTTCAACACATGTGTAACTCAATGATAGGACTGCTAGGGTGTCCATTGTCATGGCATCCACAACGCCACGGGGGGAAGCGGGTCCTGATGCTGTTCGCTATTCCTCTGCCCCCGGGGGCCCGCCGCGGGCCCCCGGGGCTTCAGAGAGCGACTCGGGATGAGTCCCTGGTCCTGGGGCTAAAAGTCGGGTTAAGTCGGGCGTGCCATGGCATCCACCACCCTGGGATGATGGGCCTGTTTTCCACCACCACCACCACCCGAAGCTGGATGGGGGGAAGGAGGCGGAGGAGGAGGAGGAGGAGAGGAGGAGGAGAGGAGGAGGAGAGGAGGAGGAGGAGGGGAGGAGGAGGGAGGAGGAGGCGGAGGAGGAGGAGGAGGAGGAGGAGGAGGAGGAAGAGGAGCCCCTCCCCCTCCTCCTTGTGGTGGGGGTGGTGGAACGCAGGCCCACCCCAAGAGGTTGTGCGGCCAGGGGTGCTGCTGGTGCAGTCGGCCTGTCCCTCCGCGTGGCTCCGCGGCGCGCCTGGGGGGGGGGGAAGGGGCAGGGCGGGGCAGGGCAGCGCAGGCGGGCCTCCGCGGAGGGCGGCGGGGCTCCCGCGGAAGGGCGCGGAGTTCTTCGCGCGGCGCGCGTCGCGGTCCGCGTTCCTTCGCCCCATCCTCCTCGTCCTCCGGTGTTCTCCCTTTGGGGGGGGCGGCCACGAGGGCGCGAACAGCCTCCTCCTCCTCGTCCTCCTGTTCTCCCTTTGGGGGGGGGCTCCCGCGAGGGCGCGGAGTTCTTCGCGCTGCGCGCGTCGCGGTCCGCGTTCCTTCCCCCCCTCCTCCTCGTCCTCCTGTTCCCCCTTTGGGGGGGGCTCCCGCGAGGGCGCGGAGTTCTTCGCGCTCCATGCGTCGCGGTCCGCGTTCCTTCCCCCCCTCCTCCTCGTCCTCCTGGTCTCTCTTTGGGGGGGCTCCCGCGAGGGCGCGGAGTTCTTCGCGCTGCGCGCGTCGCGGTCCGCGTTCCTTCCCCCCCTCCTCCTCGTCCTCCTGTTCTCCATTTGGGGGGGCTCCCACGAGGGCGCGGAGTTCTTCGCGCTTTGCGCGTCGCGGAGCGCGAAGCGCGAAGTTGGGAGCTCTAGGAAGCCCCCCCCCGCGCTTTCCGAGGAGCCGTCCGTCCCAGACCCCCTCGAGTTGTAAGTCGGGCGTGTCCGTAGACGAAAAATCAAACAAAATACTCGAAACGATTCTCCCCAAAGGGGCAAACATAGTCAACATTATCCCAGTGCGACCCTACCTAGGAGTTGGAGCATCTAGGACAGCATTCTCTACATCTACACCAACAGCTACATTAACATCTGCACCTGCGTCTACATCTACATCATCATCAACAGCGAGACTCACATCTTCATCTGCCCCGCGTCGTGCGACTGATGAAGTGCATGTCTTGCAGACCGTACTCAGTCGCAAAGAGCACAACGAACGCCCAGAAGCCATCCTCGACAGCCGTGTACATATTGCTGCTTTCAACCCGCTGATCGTCGTTCCGCTTGGACGCGACGTCGCCCACATCGACGGCCACAACAGGCCGGGTGGGCTGTGCAGCATCACCTGGTGCCGAGGCGGGCTGTGCAGCACCGCTGAACGCCTCACTCCGCCAACCTCGGGACATGAGCGTGGGCGGCTGTGTGGCATGGCCTCCGGACTTGAGCCGGAATGGCACTGCTTGCGGGGGCTCCGGTCCGGCCATCGAGGTTAGCTCGGCATCTGTCGCACATTGTTTTTGCTTTGCCTTTCCTTTGCTTTGTTGTTGCTTTTGCTTTTGCTTTGCTTTGCGTTGCTTGTGCTTTGCTTTGCTGTCGCTACTGTTGCTTTGCCTTTTCTTTGCTGCTATGCTATACCATGCTCTGTTATGCTTTGCTATGCTATGCTATACTGCGCTGTGCTATGCTGTGCTGTGCTGTGCTGCGTATGCTATGCTATGCTGGGCTATGCAGTGATATGCTGAGCTGCGCTATGCTGTGCTACGCTATGCTATGCTATGCTGTGCTCTGCTATGCTAAACC